TCTACTTAGTAAACACTTGTTGGAGGTGTTTGGTTAACAGCCTATCAGCCAATTTTTGGCTGATTTGACTGTATTTGGCTTTTTGACCAGATTAATGAAAGTGTTTGATTAGCTAGCTTTTTCAATTGGCTTTTTGGCCCAACAGCCAAAATATATCAATGAAAAATTAATTGATGTCCTTAAAAGTCATTTAACAACATATCACCTAATTGTAAGCAGCCATTTAACCAAACATCATTCTACAAATTGCTAACCTTATCAGCTAATCAAAACAGCTAACAGAATCTGCTATCATCAATCAGCAAACATTATCGGCCAACAGCCAACGGCCATTTGCCAAACACCCCCGTTATGTCCTAAAGTGTTGTTTAGTAAACACTCCACCCTCATGTTTTACTTAGGCAATATATTAAACTTTTTCATATCGACAAATATACTCCCTCCGGCCCTAAATAAAGTTCAGTGTTTGACTTCACACAAATTAAGGAAATAAATTTGACTTTACTGTAGAGTACACTGTTGTGACATTGTTTGACACTGTTTGGCACTGTTTTGATGTAGATAATTTGTCAAATAAGAAATGTAGAAGAAATGTGAACTTTATTTTGGACCGGCCCAAAAAGTAAAGTGTGAACTTTATTTAGGACGGGAGGGAGTATTTCTCATCCCACAATAAAAGTCTCCAGACTCCGGAGTACGTACTCCTAAGCCCCCACCCTCACCTCTATCCTACCCTGCTCGTGAATTAAACATACATTCAATAAGCATCTCGTAGTAAACAGACAAACAATGATATAGTAAAACATCTACGTAATATTAATAAACTCCATGCACTTACTAGCCCATGAAGCAAACTGCCCTTAGCATTGTATTGAATCACACAAATTGAAGTACTACTATGAAATGGATGTGTTTGGTCGACATGCGAAAAGAAATTGGGATGTGTTTGGCTAGCGACGAGTATTGTTGTGCATTCAAAATTTGAATTAAACTGATCATTAACTAAAAAGAAATTAAGTATATAAATTATTACAAAGACAACCAAAAAGCTTATCAAGGTTGGCCATCTTTAAAAACTGAAAGTAAATAACTATGATTCATATTATTTCACACATAAGCTTTTAATAATTGTTTGTCACCCCACCAAGAACGAATCTCATTAGATTATGTAAACTATTAATCAAACACCCAATAAATAAAAATAAAGTGTTGAGAAATTGGAAATTAAATTAAATACTTTTTAATTATTGAACGGCACTCTTTTTAATTAAAACTAAAAAAATCAGATTTTATTGAAAGCATGCATGTGCACCACTACATCACATTTGAGAAATGCCTTACTCAAAGATTGCATCTTTTCAATCACCATAGAAAAACTTCACCTTTTACATAATAGGGGTTATAGTTGATTGACATTTGTAACATTACATTAGATATTGAAAGAAAAAAATTAAACTTAGGTTTGTCAAACAAAAAACTTGTAAGGTCTATTTAAATTAAAATGACAACGTATGTTACAAAACATTTTTTTAGTTTAGCTGGAAGTAATTAATATCAAAGTACAATATCAAAGTTTGGTCTGAAATAAAATCAAACCAAACATTCGGTTTGAACATGTTATTATCAAACGGTCGACTTCAATGAATTAAAACAAAATTAAATTACCATTTTTTTAATTTTATTTAGTTTGAATGTTTGATTGAATCTAACTGCTCTCCCTTACTCTAGAGAGAAGCATGAGCCTAGTTGAAATGAGTCTGAGTTGACATTATATTCAAGATAGAAAAGTAAACTGTTTAAGACGAGTTTGTAATTTATTGAACCGAGATAAAATAAGAACCTGATCGGATTATGCTTTTCTCAAGTCATTCAAATTAAAGGATGCTTTTGAATCAAATACGTTCTATAAATGGACTATCTCTTTCCTCGAACTAAAACTCAAAATTTACTTTAGCCAAATTAAAGGTTCTATATGAGTAAAATAACAATAAGAGATTTGTTCTAATATTTCTATCCAGGCTGATCTGTTTAAATCTGACTTGAACGGGTTTAATCTGTCATATGTACGAGTATGTCTACCTTATGAGTATTTTATTATTGTATGAAATTGATCATCTAGTCGTTTATGATATCTGGTCTAGTCTGTTTAAAGTTGATCATCCATTTTGTCTGATTCGATCCCGTATGGAATTGAAATTAGTCAAACTAAAACATCCTTAGTTCACCACTTCACCTCAATGTGTTATAAACTCTCTCTTTTAATATTTGGACGTGGGACTAGGGAAAATGTTAAACGAATATGCTACTTTTATCTTATGTAGAGTATCACAAATCTTGATGTCAAGATTATTTTGACTTGAACGTCGTCCGACCACCTCAATTCGATGTGGATTTTTTTTGGATATTTTGTCAGCATGTTCTTAATGAAGTTGAGATTATGTCATAAAATTTCATATTAAAATTCAATGGAGAAGTTGGTTAAATAAATTATTCAGAGACAATGTGTTTTTATTATTTTTTTTTGTGTAGTGTTTTTTCAATAATTTGTTTAATTGATTTTCCGATTGAACTTTAAACTGAAATTTGATGGACATAATCGGCACTGCATGAAGAACGTGCTCACATGCAAAATTTTATAAAAAACATTCCAGCAGGAAGAACTTCAAGTGAAGGTGGTCGAATGGCGCTACGGTTAGGAAATTCCTGACCGGAAGATTACTCTATACGTAGGGACAGTAGAGTATATATTCCTTCGTGTCAGATTTAAAATTCTCATTTCAGTTTCTAATTACCAATAAGGTTTATTTCTTAAAAAAACTCAATTTGAATATATACAATTAACATAGTTTTGATATAAGGAGTAAAAATTATAGACTAGAATATGTTGAGGATCGATTTCGTCACCGGATTCCGGCTCAGGTAGTCCGGGGGTCGGTTTTCCGGTTGCCTCTCGTGCACACCTAGGCTAAGGGAGCAACACACCTTTCTAGCCTCGCCAACACTCACACTCTCAACCTCACCAAGAAGAAGAAGTGAAGCTGCCTCGCAAGAGCTCTCACTTATGCCAGGAAGAAAAGGTTCAACTAATGAAAGTCTCTAGTGTGTATTTCACACGCTGAACAAGGGTGTAGGGGGTGTGCTTATAACAGGGAAGAAATACACTTGGAAGTATGAGGAAGGAGCAAATACACTCAAATAATACACTCCACACACAACTATCACCAGCTCAATAATGAGTTCAATTTGAATTCTAACAATAGAGGCAAATACTGATAAGTCAGACACATAAATAGGTACAATGTAGTGGGCTGCTAAAAAGAGCGTTAACCATTATTAATATACAAAAAACATTTGGACCAACAATATATTAACAGAATAGAATGGAGTTCACATAATGAATACCATTCTTGCAATGGAAACTTGATAAATACATGTTGGTTGGTTGGTTGTATGCAGGCGAGAGAAGAAGAAGCAAAGAGAGAGAGAGATGAGAAAGAAAGGAAGGATGCATTATTCCAATCATTGAAGACTACCATCTTAATCTCCGCCGCAGCCGTGGCAGTAGTCGGTGCCGTTTTTGCCATCACCAAGAAACTCAGGGAGACATGAAACCAAAATTAAACACACAAAAATTATTTTGAGTTTCATTCCGACAACATAATTTAACACGCTGCATATTGAACTTTCCATCTATTTATAAAAACCATACTATAATTTTCAATTTATTGTACTTAATTTCGACCCAAAAAAATTCAATATTATTCTACTGTTTTTTCGCTTGTGTAGATTGCCTAAAATAATTCAATTTAGGGCTGCAAGCACATTTTCGCTTTCCGGTGTGTAACAAATAATTTAACATACAAGAATAGTAAATTTCGATAGAATAGGTTTTATTTTATTTAATGTAAGAAATATATGCAATTTATGTGAGGACTGAGGAGCTGAATTATATTGCACAAATAGTTTTGGACTTATGTCAAGAAAGTTAAATGCATAATTACTCCCTCTAGCTCATTACAAAGGTCACGTTTCAAAAGATATTTTGTTATTTTAAAGACTAACTTCATCGAATGAAGTTACATTTTTCATGTCATTTGCCAAACGTGAATTTCAACCATAAATATTATAAGTTCAAAAGTTATGAGAGTATTTAGAATAACATAACAACAGAGCATCTTACGTGAGCTTCATGAATATAGTTTTGATTTTATGACAAGTTTTTATTTACAAAAACATTTGGTTATAACTCTGGAGTATTATTTTTGAAGTTTTGGATTACAAATCATTTCTTAAAAATAATGTACTCCGTATTTTTGAACTATTAAATAATAACATTGGTTGTTACAGTTTGTTGACGAGTTTAAACTAAAAATTAAATTGTACTCTCTTCGTCCCATTTAAACGTTCCCACACGGTTTATGACGTTTGACTGATCATAAAGTCAATTGATCTTTGTCATTAGTAGAATTATTTTTAGTAAATAAAATTTACATATTCAAAAACTACATTAAAACTGCTACAAAGCCTGATCAAGAGAATTTAAATTTTATAAAAGTTGGATATATGAAGTAAAAGATTAAGAACAATGCACGTTGACCGGAGAAGAATGGACGAGAAACTTTAAATGAGATGGAGGGAGTAACATTTAGGTAGTACCCCCTCCGGTCCTTAATGAAGTTTACACTTTGACTTCACACATATTAAGGAAATAAATTTGACTTTATTGTAGAGTACAATGTTTGACACTGTTTGACACTGTTTAACACTATTTTGCACTGTTTGGTATAGATTTGTTTGCCAAATAAGACAAATAAGGAAGTGTAAAGTTAAATATAGGACGACACAAAAAGAAAAGTGTAAACTTAATTAAGGACCGGGAGGGGAGTATTAGGTAATAAAATATTTAATTCAATGTGGTCTATAGTCCAAAAAGTAAAAAGTATTACTCGTACTATTTTTTTTAGACTTGGTTGTACAGTTTATTCGTCGCCCAAGTCCCACTTCACCCGTTTTCTGCCCCTCGCTCTTTCTGCCGTATTTCGTTTTTCTAGTTTGAAAGTCTCTCTTCCTCTCTCTCCTCTCTCTCTCAAGAATGCCTCAAGTTGATCTTGAAACGCTAGTCTCCGCATGCGCCGGCGGCGGAACTGACCGGAAAATAGCATGCGAATCGCAGGCAGACGACGGTGACAACTCCGGAGACATCAAAGAGATTCCCGGCGACGATGAGATCGATTCCGGCGACATCGAAATAGCAGTCGCTACTGATTTACCGCCGGAGTCCTTCTGGCTGTCGAAGGATTCCGAAATCGATTGGTTTGACCGGAACGCTTTCTTCGAGCGGAAGGAGTCAACGAAAGGCGCCATTCCAAACTCCGGCTCGCTCCCCAATCCGAATTCGAATTCCTATTCCCAGTCCCAGAGGTTTTCGAAATCGAAGGCTTCGATCATCGGGTTGCCTAAAGGCCAGAAGACCGCCTACGCGGAATCTAAGCGGAGGGCGGGGAATAAAACGGGGATTATCCGGCTTTTCCCGCCGAAACGGACGGGGTCGGTCGGGAAACCGGTCGCAGAACCGTCGTCCCCGAAGGTTTCGTGCATCGGAAGGGTAAGATCGAAGCACCGCCGCCGGAAATCTTCATCGAGGAACGAAAATTCGATCGAGAGATCGCGGAGTGGCGGAGAGAATCGGAAGCCGGGGTTCTATTCCCGGTTGGTAGCCATGTTCACGTCATCCGGAAAGAAAGCCGGAAAGGAACGAAACAGGGAGCCGCCGAGCGGTGCCGCGAAGATCGTGAAAGCGACGAGATCTTGTGAAATTCCACTGGGCAGCGGGCAGCCCGGTTTGGGTGCTATGAACCGGTTCGCGTCGGGCCGCCGGTCCGCATCGTGGGGGGCTCAAGAAATTAGCGCCGCGGTTTCGGAGAGTTTAAACAGGGAAGTTGGCCGGGTGGGGCCCAAGGCTAGAAATTGATCGACACGGCCGTGAGCTGGTGGTCCGATGTGGCACGTTGTCTAACGGCTTTCCCGTTGACCTTTAGCTAACATTGTAAGCCGTCAAAACACTGTAGCCATGGTTGCAGGTTTTACATTTTGTTATTGATTTCCAATCAGCATTCAGTCATTTATAGTTTTGTAAATATATTTTCTTTCTAGAAATGGGTGAATGCAATCCATCCTATCTTTTTGGCTAGAAATAATATTTATGTAATTTTATGACGTGTGGTATACTATTTATAATACTAAATACTAAATGTACTCCCTCCGTCCTCGAAAATTAGTCTCACTTTCCTTTTTTGGACGTTCCAAAAAATTTGTCCACTTACTAAATAAGGAAAGATTTTTTAATTAAAAATCCATTTTACCCCTCCTTATTCTTTACCCTCCCACGCTTATCCTTATCCTTTTCACTTATTCGCTCTCTCACCTTCTGTCGTTACCACTTCTGCAAGTCTGCAACACCATTCCCACCCACTTTCCTCTCACTTCTTCATTACTCCGGCGATAGCACTTCACCTCTCTCTTACACTATTCTGGCCATTTGTCCTCCCTTTCTTGCACTCTTCAGTTCGTTGAACTTTATTTCCTTCTCTGATTTCATTTCCAGTTTAACCCTAGCTTATCTGTTGATCTAACCGTCTATCTTAAAATCAAATCCCTAAATCCGATTACCATGAAAGATCTACCTGCATGCAATGAATGCATGGCGGATCTTATGGTTCCGGATAGCGTTTTGGAGTTCCAGATCGAAGACAGTGAAGGTCCGGATAAGCCTGTGGTTCCGAATAGTGAAGATGTGTCAGAGGAGGTGGACGGTGGAGCTATGATGACCTTATTGGTTCGGGACAGTGAAGAGGAGGCAGAGGAGGAGGTCGGTGGAGGTGCGGTGGAGGTTCAGCTTCCGGACAGTGATGCTTGGGCTAAAATAAGGAAGGATGTTCGAATGCAGTACATTCGTTATCCTGGTCTAGAGGACTTCTTAAAACTCATCCTACTGGGGAATCGAGGATGTGGGACGTTAACGCCTAACAGGGGAGTTTGTTTCTTTATCTGTTTTGCATTGCAAATCTGTATGTTGGTATGTTTCGGAAATTGTTGTCTGGTTTGTGTTACATGTATGTTGTGTGTATAGATGTGTTTGATTCTGGGGCAGCAATGATGATTATATGGTGTTCTTATATGTATGACTGAATGGTAAGGGTTATGTGAGGTTGCTATGATGACCTTATTGGTCTGAGCTTTGTTGGCTGCTATGATGACCTTATTGGTCCGAGCTTTGTTGCCTGCTATGATGACCTTATTGGTCTGAGCTTTGTTGCCTGCTATGATGACCTTATTGGTCTGAGCTTTGTTGGTTGATATGAGGCTGTTACAATGACCTTATTGGTTGGTATGAGCTTTGTTGGTGTCTATGAGGCTGCTATGATGACCTCATTGGTCTGAGCATTGTTTTGTGTGAGGCTGCTATCATGACAATATAGTCTGAGCATTGACTTATCTGAGACTGCTATACTGAATAAGAGAGCCATAAGACTTGAGAAAGGTGTCTGTTATGCTACAACAGTATATGCCTCTAAACATTCCAAATTTCTTAGGCCTTCACAAAATTACAAAAATATAGGCCTCTATATTATGACAAAAAAAGGCATTTACAAAAATACAAAAAACATGCCTTCAGAACTAATGGATTGAGTTCATTAGTGAAGATGACTTAGTCCTCATCATCTTCATGGATGAACTGTTCATTAGTAGCCTGTTGTTGGGATAAAACTGCTTCTGTGACTTCTAGTAACTCCACATCAACCTCTATGCTTGTTGGTAGTCTGCCTTCTGTGATCATTCTATCCTTTGCATGGTGTGGCAGCTTGTAGTTGTTCCCCCCCTCCACTATCATAATCTCTAACATCACATATTGGTAGCTTAACCAAACCTTGTTTAGAGTGGTGGGTGAAAGATGGTAGAATGCTTCATCTACTGCCTTTAACAGTTCATCCACATTCTTAGGTGCTTGTTGGTCTTTCAAAGACAGAATTGCCCTAAAGAACCCAAGATCTAGTATGTTAAGATTAGGAGAATTGGGGGGCTGGTTAGTTAGGGTAATACTAAACCCATCTACTTTTGAGACAGCCATAAAGTATAGGTCTGAATCTTGTGTGGCCTTGCATTATCTTGTTGGATTACAATGTCCTTACTTAACTGTTCTGACCATTTTTCCTTGATGCTAGGCAGCACATTTTTTATAAGCATGTCCTTAAACACTGATTTTGTTATGCTCAGTACAAGTTTGTTTTCCATTACCCCTGCATCCCTGTTCTTGCTTTTCCTTTTAGCAGCCACTTTCTCAATGAATGGGAGAATGCCTATTTTACCATCCCATATTACTTCTCCATTATCTGCAAACAAATGCCTCACCACTGCTCCTAGTGACATGACCTTGGTTATGAATCTTTTAGACTTGCATACCCTATGTGGATCCATTTCTTCATGTGCCATGTAGTATCTCTGAGATGTTTTTGACAAGAAAAACCATTTCTCATCAATGTGTATCACATTATGGAAATGTTTAAATTTTTAAATACTGGATTTCTTGGAATTGATTTGTCTATTTATCTGGAAAAGAAAATCAATTTGTGAATTTTATTTGCATCACTTAGCAAAGGCTTAATAGCATTTGTATGGCTTCTAAGCACACCTCTCTCAACCAATCTGTGAATACATGACTTTGAAACTGAACTGGCCGAAGCAAGTGCCCTTATGTTAGTCCTTTTGTGCAGTGGGATTTGTGAAATGTTGGTTACATCAAATAACACTCTTTTTCTGCCTGAGTTTCCCATCCACTTGGTTTTGACATCTATTGTTTCCCCTTTTTGAATCTGCTCTTTGGCTTTGCTCCAGATCCTGAAAATAGTATTTCTGGTCACTGAATATTTAGTGGCCAGCTGATTTAGAACACCATGTTGAAGCTATCACCTCCCCAGAATCTGTTCTTGTTGCACTGATTATAATTTCATCAACTATACTCTCTCGTTCACAGTTTTGTAGTCTTCTTGCTTTGATATTTGAGCTTTGGCCATTTGTTGGTGTGTGCAGGGCTTCATTTATGACAGTTGGTGAGGAAGGAGCATTCACTGCACCTGAAGACAACTCTTCATTAATGGAAGCTGCAGTGGGGGAAGAAGCTGTCTGGGCGCCACTGCTGTTTGCGGCCATAAATGCTGCGTGAAGTGTGTGATAGTGTGTAGTGAATTTTTGTGAGGGAGGGAACATTTGGAATGTGTATTTATAGACAGGGTTAATTTAGAAGCTTTCCCAAAAAAAGGAGGGAACTTTAGGGGGAAAGGGGTGTAGTACTTTTATATGAACAGTGTAAAGTTTTTGGGTGCAGTAAATCCCCCCACCCCACCCCACCGCCGCAATTCCTTTCTCCTTTTACATTAATTTTACTTTAGGGGCACTTTGGGAAAGTCAAAGCATTTTATAATTTTTCGTAAAATTCGATCCAAGTCAAAATGGGACTAATTTTCTGGGACGGTGGGAGTATACTTTAAGGTAAGTCACATTTTGACGGTTGTTAAAAAAAGGGAAAATAATTAAAATACCGCAAACTTTGAAGGGGTGTGAGATGAACACCCCAAACTTGCATATGTAATTTAAATATCTCAAACTTTATATAAAAAGTTATTTTATCACCATAGTCAAATATTATTTCTTTTAAAAACCTAAATTTATGATGTTAATTGCATAATGTAAAATATTTTAGAATTCATGAAGACACAATTAACATTCTAAACTTCCATTGTGAAATAAATAATGTTACCCCAATCTATATAATTGCAACACTTTTAATTTGCTATTTTAAATTATGCAATTAACCATATAAATTTACATTTTTGAAAGAAATTATACATGACAATGGCGTGAAAATAAATTTTTATGTAAAGTTTGGGATATTTAAATTACATATGCAAGTTTGGGATGTTTACCTCACACCCCTTCAAAGTTTGAGGTATTTTTATTAATTTTCCCTTAAAAAAATTAAGGGAAGAATTATTATTTATCACTGTAATCTCAAATTGGAGGAAGAATTTTATAAATGAGAAAGGGGGTAAATAAGCACTCGAACTATTTGCGATTATGTAATCAAGATGATGAACCAAAAGATTGCAGATACACCATCAACTCTTTTAAAATTAAGCAATCAGATTCTTTTTACCCGTTGGTCCCAGGAATTTCTCATGCTCCAGGAATTTCAAACATTATTTACTCCCATTTAGGGCAATTTCCCTTGTATTTAATTGAAATTTCCTTGTATTTATTGGATAGACAAAATGAAAACAACTACTTTCTTTATAACACGTTTTTATATCTATTAAGTAGACAAGGATACACGGGCTTCTATGGTTGCCCGAAGCGTGCTAGGAGACGAGAATCTTGGAATATTCTGAAATCTTTGAGCATGGGAGCTGATCGTCCGTGGTTGGTTATGGGGGATTTTAATGACTTAATGTTCGCTTCATAAAAAGAGAGGTCATGTTCCTCACCCTCCTTGGCTTCTTCGGGGATTCCGGGAAACTGTTTGGGCTAGTGGGCTGAGGAATTTTAGTTTTCAAGGCTACCAGTTTACTTGGGAACGTTGGAGAGGTACACAGAACTGGGTGGAGGAGAAACTGGACAGGATTTTGGTGTCTGAAAGTTGGCTTGATGTTTTCGGTGCGACAGTGGCCGAATCTCTTGAAGGTGCACCAAGTGACCATTTGGCTCTCTATATTAAACTTCTCCCTATACATAATATTAGTCGGAGGAGAAATTTCAAATTTGAAAACGTCTGGCTCAGGGAAACTGATTGTCGTGAGATTGTAGCCCACAGCTGGGGTCTGGGTCGCAACTCAGGCATTATGAAATAAGTATTCTCTTGCAACAAAGCTGTTGGGGAGTGGGGGCTTAATAAATCCGGGTCTTACGGCAAGCGCATGCATTAATTTCTGCAGAAAAAGATTGAACTTTTTGCGTGAATGAGTAGGGACACATGGGGTGTGAATGAATTTGAGAGAGTTAAGCTGGAGTATCTCGAGCTTCTTGAAAAGGAAAATATTTTTTGGAGACAGAGAGCCAATGAATTTTGGCTTCAAGGAGGAGATCTCAATACTCGCTACTTCCATAATGCGGTGAAACACTGATGACGTAACAATAAAATGGAGGGTCACATGCTTGAGGATGGCCGATGGGAGACTGACAGATCAGAGGT